TCCAACCGAGCGATTCTGTGATTCTGTATTAGCCATATCTTTGAATAGGAGGCTCATTAAATCTACAAAACAAACTATAAATAAACAGTAGATAGGCACTAAAATGAAAGAGGGCAAAGTCCATGCAGACTGCTTGGCTCTTGTGAATGGTCTGCATGACAAAACCAGTCTCAGCGTAGGAGCTTGATCTTGTGCAGTGCTCAACCCTTCTGAAAGAGCAGTAGTTTGCAATCGGCTTGAGTTTTGTGTGTGTAAGTTTTTGGTGGTCCTACCACCCAGAATGTGAACAAATGGGTCTTAAACCTATCTTTAAAAAAGGAGAAAGATTGAAAGAAATTGTGGGGAAGAGAAAGCTACCTGTGGATGCAGTAACAGCTGTGAAATGCATAAGGGACCTTTGTGTAGGGATGGGTTGTAACCTGATGGGTAGTAAAGAAAATAACTAGTTGAAAATGCAGCAGGGAAGATGAGGTGCACGTGTTAGGAAAAATATGTAATCATTCAGGATGGCAGTGCACTGGGGAAATAATACTGCAAGGACTTGGTGCGGATGCCATGAGGGCTCCCAATTTCAAAACAGGTTAGACAGGCATCTGTAAGGAATGACTTGGGCATTCCCTTTGCTGCCTCTAGTCTCCTTCTAACCCTAACTTACAGTGATTGCAGATGAGGTAGGCCTCCTAATACTTTTATCACAAGGGGAAAAAGGATGTCACAGGTTGAATTTACAGACTAGTGATACCCTATGGTATCAGCAATATGGCTCATTAAATCAATGGAAATTACAAATGGTTGACAGCTGCGCACTGATCTCAGACTTTGGAAGCTTAAATACATTTTGTGATTGCTGTCTGACCGGTTCCTTTGTGAACAAATTAAAGTGACTGCTTAGTCAGGTGAAAATTTGTCACCGTGTTCCAGTTCAGGGCTACTTCAAAATGCCAACACTGGTACTGTTGAGAAAGATTCAAACTGTTCCTTTCTCACTGACTGATTTTATGTAGGCAGCATTTCCGTCGCATTAATTTATCCCATGCTTGCTTGCTTTTTTAGCATTCTTGTCTTGAGCTGTGATCCAGCTCTGCTTTTGTATTTGCTGCCTTTTGGGTGTTTTTTAAGGTTTGTTGTTTTGTAACAGACAGTATTTCCCTCTGCCTAGAGATGACGTAGAGCAACTGTAGAGGGAAGACTGGGGGTTAGTCAGGAATTCCTGAATTCTGCTTGCTAGTCTGTCTGTGAGCTAAGATAAACTTACGTGAGGACCATTATTGTTCCTTAAATACATTTTGTCTCTTGGCTACTTGCTGGCATCTTCTGTTGCAGTGTGTTTTACACAAAGTGTT